ATATCATCTTTAAATTTAATATGTAATTTTATATTTTAAGACCTCGAAAAGCATCATTTATCATTGCTCGACTTGCGTGCGCAGTCAGTGCAATTTTCTAAAAAGTTTTTATGTGAAAAATAGATTAAAATATGAAATGGAGCTTTAAAAACTCAACTGAATCGAATTGACTTGGGTGTATGCCCGGAATCGAATTCCGAGGTCTCTAGCTCGAGATATGAAATTTTGATGAAAAATTAAAATCTTGAAAACTTAATGATTTTTAAGAAATTACTGATGTTAGATTTATTGACCTCGGGTCCGTATTCTAGTTCTGGAACTCGGTATAGGTCCACGATAATATTTATGACTTGTCTGCCGAATTTGGTGAGAAACAGAGTTGATTTGACTTGAGTCGGACGTCCGGTTGTAAAAATATAAGTTTTAAAGTTTTCTTGGAAATCTCCTTTGATTTGGTGTCTGATTTGTAGTTCTAGGTGTTAGTTTAACAATTTGATCGCGCGAGCAAGTTCGTATGATATTTTAGGACTTGTGTGCAAGTTTGGTTTGGAAACCTGAGGGCTCGGGTGAGTTTCGAATGGGCTACAAGATGATTTCTGACTTAGGAAATCTGGTTTTCTGCAGACTTCAGGCTTCTAGTGTGTTCTTCTTCGCGTTCGCGAAGGTACTCTCGCTAACGCGAAGAACAATTGGGGCTAGAAAGTTTTGTGCTTCGCGTTCGCGACAGAGTGACCGCGTTCGCGAAGGCTTGAGGTTCAAAGCTTCGCGTTCGCGAAGGAAAAGAGGCTGACCAAGATAATTGCCTTCGCGTTCGTGAAGGGCATCTCGCGTTCGCGAAGGCCAAGCTAGGCAAGCTTCGCGTTCGCGAAGGCCAAGCTAGGCAAGCTTCGCGTTCGCGAAGTAGCCCTCGCGTTCATGAAGTAGCCCTCGCGTTCGCGAAGTGTAAAATTGGACAACACAAATTTGTGCTTCGCGAACGCGAGGCACTGACCGCGTTCGCGAAGGGTAAAAATCCCAGAAACAGAACTTAAGTTCTGGAAATGGGATTTCGATCCATTTTCAACTCTTTTCCATTTTTGAGCTCGGGTAAGGCGATTCTTGGGGGATTTTCACGGAAAAATATTGAGGTAAGTGTTACTTATCCTATATTAATTATATTTCATGATTTTATACTCATTTATATCATGAATCCGTAAAATTTTGGAAGAAAAATCTGATTTTTATAAAATCTTCCAAAAACGAAAATTTAAGATTTGAATGTCCATTTGACATCGGAATTGGATAATTTTTGTATGCTTGGACTCGCATCGAAATGAGTGTTCGGATTTCGTAAGTTATTTTTCGGGATTTGAGACGTGGATCCCACTACCGAATATTTTAATAAATTTTGAATTTTTATTCGGAAAATTTGTAAATTCATATGGAATTAATTCCTATAATTCGTATTAAGTTGTTTGTGAATATATTTGAAACTTTTGGAGATAAATGTAAAAGGAAAAGTTGTGGTCGAGTAATTGATTAAAATTTGCAAAGCGAGGTAAGTTTCGTGGTTAACCTTGACTTGAGGGAATAAAACCCTTAAATTATTTGTTATATAAAATGCATGTGAACGACGTATAGACGAGATGACAAGTGTCTATACATCGTCAAATTAATTATTTGCCTGCTTACTTGAAAAATTATAAATTATTTTAAATCATGAATTAATTATTATAATAATTATTTCTCTCATATTCTTTGTCAAACATTAATTCTTGAATTCGTGCATTAATTGTTACATGCTATTTGAATTATGTGCCTTAATTGTTATTTGACATTTAGCATATTAAATATTAAACTGCCTATTTTCTCCCTGATTTCTATAATAATTTACTATTTGTCATTGTTTGTTTCATAATTAAATTATAATTATTGTATGCTTGTTGTCTTATAATTTATTATTAATTATTGCATTTATTGGGGAAATTTCTTCTATAAGAATTGGTAAATGGATATATTGAAGGATCGAGTTGCACGCCGCAACAGAATTGGTTGAAATGGATATATTGGAGGATCAGGTTGCACGCCGTAACAGACTTATTAAAAAGTCCATATTGGAGGATCGGGTTGCATGCCACAACAAACTTATTAAAAAGTCTATATTTGAGGATCGGGTTGCACACCGCAACAGACTTATATAAAAGTCAATATTGGGGGATCAGATTGTACGCCGCAACAACCTTATTTAAAAGTCTATATATATACTTGATTGAAATAAATATAAGACAGACTTGATTAAAAAAAAATATTGGGAGAGTGGGTTGCACGCTGCAACAGAATTGAATATGAATATATTGTGAGAGCAGGTTGCACGCTACAACGGAAATTGATAGAATTGATAATTGGTTATGACTGCTGAGTTGGCTTCAATTATTATAAATGAGTTACCTGATTTATTTCTATTATTTGTTGTTGTTACTAATATTGCGTACAGGTTAATGTAAGTAACCCGCCTTAGCCTCGTCACTACTTCGCCGAGGTTAGGCTCAGCATTTACCAGTAGATGAGGTCGGTTGTACTGATACTACACTCTGCACTTCTTGTGCAGATTTCGGAGTTGGTCCCAGCGGCGTACCGTAGACTTGCTCGGATTATAGCTACTCAGAGGAGACTTGAGGTATAACTGCATGGCGTCTGCAGTTCTAAAGTCCCCGTCTACTTTACTTTAGCTGTGTGTTTATTTCCAGACATCTTTATTTTATTCAGATATTTATTTGTATTTATTCTAGAAGCTCGTGCACTTGTGACACCAAATTCTGGGATGGTATTTAGACACCGTTGTTCTTATGGATTAATCACTATATTTCATACCTTACTTCCGCGTTTATTTCTTTGTTATTAATAAATTTAAAGGTTGTTTAAAAATTAGTTAATATCATTCTAACGTTGGCTTGCCTAGCAAGTGAAATGTTAGGCGTCATCACGGTCCGAAGGTGGAAATTTCGGGTCGTGACATATTTAAAAAATAGCCATTTAACCCCCCTCCCCTCAACTTTATTTTAACCCCAAACTTTTTATAATTATACTTTTCCCTATTTTTAACTATAAATACCCCCTCATTCTTTTATTTTTCTTACAAAATCATCAATCTATCACAATCTCTCTCTAATTTTCTTCTATAATTGCTACTATTGCTTACTTTATTGTTATAATTTGTGAAAAAATTGTGAAGTTAGTGAATTGAAGTCTTCAAGTCTTCAACGATAATCAATTTTCAATAAATTGTTCCTCAATTCGGTAAACTCGTTCCAACTCTTAAGTTTTAATATTATAGTTTTGTTTATTTTATTTATTTTCTATTACTTGATTAATTAAGATGGCTTCCTTAAAAAAACTTTTTGGTAACAATAAGGAAAAATCCAAGAGTGACGAATCTAGTGGTCAATCTGTTCCTCCTCTATTGCCCCGGCCCGGGACCGTTTAGCCCGGGACCATGAGTTCGTAGGCCCGGTCCCGGACCGGTTCCTACAAAAAGATCATTTGGCCCGGGACCGTTTGGCCCGTTTAATTTGGGACCAGTTCGGGATCGGGACCGGGACCGTTTGGACCGGCCCACATGCCAACCTTATTACAGTATAATATATAATGTAATAACTATTAAAATTTGGTCTTTTTAGAGTTTTTTTAAAATTTTTATTGAGTTCTTTTTCAACTTTTCAATGGAGTTCTCATATTTTTTCAACTTTTCTCATAAACCAAAATATTTAGTTTGAAATATTTGATTGGAGGTTGTGGCTAAAGTTTGAGTCAATTTGGTAAAAATTCTGGAGTATATTTTTTGAAATTTAGGTTGAAATTGAGTTGAATTAGCCAAGAAGACCAATTTGTATTATATACCAAAATAATATTGTATATACCAAGACCAATTTGTACTATATACCAAAATAACATACTATATACCATTTTGGTATATAATATTTAATTCAATAGTGTATAATTTATTAAAACAGTATACTATTACAGTATATGGTATAATGTAACAATATAGTTAAATTTGATAATATTTTAATTTTTCAAAAACAAATGTTTAATGGGTCATTTTTTAATTTTCTAACAGGGTTCTCGATATTATATACCCCGTTCGTATATGATATATATCATCTAAATGCTATAGTATACTGCAATAATATACTTAAACTGCTACTAATATATTATTTTTGATATACTATATGCTAAAGTAAGTTATTCCCTAATAATTAATATATAAAAATATAAATAAAAAAAATAAAGGAGCCAAAAATGTGTGCAGAATTAGATTATGAAAAAAGAAAATAAAAAATAATTTGAAATAATAATAAATAAAATTAAAAAAGAAAAATAAAATGAAAGCAAAAAAGAGAAGAGAAACCAGTTATAATGTATAAGTTGTTATAATAATTGAATATAAAAAAAATATATTATACCAGTTATATTAAAAAAGGTGAATAAATATTTACTATATCAGTTATCTTTTCTTATTGTATAAATAAAGAAGAATAATAAAAATAGCAAAAATATAAAATAAGATTATGAAGAAAGAGAAAAATAAAAGAAAAAAGGAGTTAAATGAAATTAGAAAAGAGAACAAGAAATTAAAAAAATAAAAATAAAAATAAATAAATGAAAAGGAGCTAAAATTGAGTGAGAAATTAAATTATGATAATAATAATAATAATATGATCTGGGCTAAAAAATAAATAAACAGAAAAGGAGAAAAATAAAAAAATAAGAAGAAAACGAGAAAAAAGAAAAAGAGAAAAGAAAGAAAAAAGAAAAGAAGTAGAAAAAAAAAAGGAGAAAAAAGAGGAAATTACCCACAAAAGCTATCATGGGTAGAAAAAGTAATTAGTTTAATGGATAAAAAAATAAATAGATAGTGAAGGAAAAATAATTTTATTTTTGTGGGTAATTGTGTCATTCATCCAATTTTATCCAACAAACTGGCCAATAAGGAATAATTGGTAAATGGGCCTGAATATGACACTGGGCTTTAGGGCAAATCACACTCGAATTTAACAGATCCTTTCGTCTCGGATTCTAGGGTTTGGTTCCGCTTCTGCGTCTCTCTCAGGGTACTACTGTAACTCGTCAAAATGGTAATCTCTCTTTTACACTTCTACAAGCAAATTCAGACTTATTAATTTCTATAGATTTTTTAGAAATACTCGTCAAAATCTTTATTAATCACGAAACATCCAAATTCGTTCGCTTTACTGTTATGATTTTGTGAACCACTCATATTTTACCAATAATTTCAGAACTTCGAAGTTTGAACTGGTTCATTTCTACGAGTATAAATAAATGACAAATCGTCGAAGGTGCAATGGGCGTATCATTTTAAATGATACTTCAGTGTCGCGATACGATCAGTATCAAAGCTAGTCAAATTGTGATGAATCTTTGAAGTAATGCCTTATTAGTTTGGGATCGATGCGTAATTGATTGACTGCTTGTGGAAAGACTTCTTCTCTTCCAGTTTATCTGACACACCTTTTCTTTTAGCTCGTTTAGAAAAGATAAACACTTTTAAGCTTTGAAACAATTAACTTTTACACTTCTCATTTTAATGTGATGCTTTAATAATCACACAAATATTATGACATGTTTAGACCATAACTTTTAAAAGTTTTATAGCGACACAAATGTCATGATATGTTTTAAAACACAAGTTTCAAAAGTATTCATTTCCTTTTTAAATTCCGTGCCGATTCAAACAATAACAACAACAACAAGGCCGGTGAAATCCCACAAGTGAGGTTTGGGGAGGGTGGAGTGTACGCAGACCTTACCCTACCTACTGAAGGTAGAGAGGTTGTTTCCGAAAGACCCCGGTTCAAAAGAAGTGAAAATGAAGCAATAAACAGATAGTAGCAACAACCAGGTAAGTAGACATGAGAACAAATGAAGATACGTGGAACAACAGATATCTAAGAATACGACACTATAAAAATAGATTCAGTCTTGCTGGAAATGATGACACAATATGAAATAGCAAGGGGCTATACATAGAAAAATACAAGACTAGGACTAATACTACTGGGATGCCTAGACGAAACTCTAGACTGCATGTCAACCCACAACCCTAATTCTCGACCTCCACACCCTTCTATCGAGGGTTATGTCCTCGGTAAGCTGAAGTAGTGCCATGTTCTGCCTAATCACCTCACCCCAGGACTTCTTAGGCCTCACTTTACCCCTCCTCTGACCCGCCATGGTCAACCTCTCACACCTTCTAACTGGGGCATCGGGGTCTCTCCTCTTCACATGCTCGAACCATCTCAGCCTCGATTCCCGCAACTTATCTTCTATAGGAGCCACGCCCACCTTGTCTCTAATATACTCATTCCTAATCTTATCTCTCCTGGTATGTCCACACATCCATCTCAACATTCTCATTTTCGCTACTTTCAACTTCTGAACATGAGATTTCTTGACTGACCAACACTTGGTTCCATACGACATGGCCGCTCTATCTACCACTTTATAGAACTTGCTTAAGTCTAGGTGGCACATTCTTCTCACACAAAACATCAGAAGCGAGCCTCCATTTCATTCATCCCGCTCCAATTCGGTGTGCGACATCCTCGTCGATCTCCCCGTTACCCTGTATCACAGACCCAAGATATTTGAAATTATTTCTCCTGGGGATGACTTGTGTATCTAGCTTCACATCCACTTCTGCTTCATGAGCCCCAATACTAAACTTACATTCCAAGTACTCTGTCTTCGTCATGCTCAACTTGAAACCTTTAGACTTCAGGGTCTGTCTCCACACCTCTAGCCTAGCATTAACCTCACAATGCGTCTCATCAATCAGCACTATGTCATCTGCAAATAACATACACCATGACACCTCTTCTTGAATGTGTCGCGTCAACATATCCATCGCCAGGGCAAATAAAAATGGGCTAAGAGCTGATCCTTGATGCAACCCTATCTCCACGGGGAAATAGTGCCGATTCAAACTATGTCATTTAAATTATAATAGAGGGAGTACATTATTAGTTTGGGGTTGAGACGTAGTTGATTGACATTGATTTGATTGACTAATAAAGAAGTCAATTAGAAATGTGGTTGATCGTATGGAAACTGCTACGAGATATGGAAATTAGATGGTAAAACTTACTCGTACTCGGTGTACATCGAACCTTATCAACTTACCACGAAGTGATAATATGCGTTAATTAACAATGGTTAAGTAAAAGAAGTCTATATGCAAACACATATCATGTATCTATTGGTTTGGTATAAACACCGGGAGAGCCTAAGTTTCTACCAAGTTAACTTTGTTTGAGATGCTAACTGGGGTTTTTTCTTGAGGGAAATATAGCTAGGATCCAGCTTGTGATGCATCTTGTATCGTTTCAATTTTTGTACATAGTTGGTCCTCACGCTAGTCCACCTGTTATCTATTTAATATGTGTGGGGACTCGAAATCATTTAGTGGAGGCTCAAGCATGTCTTCAATGTTTAAATTCCTTTATGGTGATTGGTTCCAACATGTAATCAGGATTGTTGGAAAAAGATTGTGTACAGTTTACCACGACATTAGCTGTTATACCTTGGATTGCTTGTGTTTGAAAAAGGTTATGGGGAAGGAGAGGCTTATAAATTATGGGCATGGCTCTGTATTTTGTTGTTGCGTGGGTGGAACAGTTTACTGAGTTGGAAAGATTTGTCAAAGACTCAAACCGTCGGTATCACGGGTTGCTACTGTTTTTCCAGTAAATTTAATGTCTTAGCATGTAGTGTTTCAATACATTGTTTTGGAGACGCTGCTCTGATTTCTGCATTGTATTCTTTCCTTCTCGTTTTAGTTTGATACACTTGTTAAATAACATTTTCCTGATATATGTAGACCAAGAGAACCAAGAAGGCCGGTATTGTCGGGAAGTATGGTATGTCTCTAAAATGCTATTGTACTTGTGTCATTATGGAAAGTTAAATATGTTTAAGAGAATTGTATGAAATTTCCGAGTTGAAGCTCAGAGCCGATAAACATGGATTTTCACCAAATTGCATATAGATTTGTCCATAACCATGCATTGGAGACCACAAACTGAATTCCCTAAGAGTTTGCTGTAAAAACATAGTTTCCATATCTGCATGTAGATTAGTCATTCTACATCTAATTCATAGCTTTGTATAATGTTTGTGTTTTTTCAGGTACCCGTTATGGTGCTAGTTTGAGGAAGCAGATTAAGAAGATGGAGGTCAGTCAGCACAGCAAGTATTTCTGTGAGTTCTGTGGAAAGGTACAGCTTTGCTTATATATTATTTGATAGTTTTCTAGACCGTGTATTCATAGTTGCATTGATAATAATGTTAATTAGATTCTGGCATTGTAGTACGCTGTGAAGAGGAAGGCTGTTGGTATTTGGGGTTGCAAAGATTGTGGCAAAGTCAAAGCAGGGGGTGCCTACACATTGAAGTAATCTTTATCTGAACTGATTGCTTCTATGTTTCTTGTGTTAAGCAAGCTTTTAGGTACTAATGACTTCGCTTCTTTTGCAGCACTGCGAGCGCTGTGACTGTTAGGAGCACCATTCGAAGGCTTAGGGAGCAGACAGAGAGTTAGAGGCCCAGTTTTGTTCTTCTGGTATTTAATTTGGAGATACTTTTACTGTTTAATGCGACATGTGAGCTTGTATTAAATGTTTCATCTTGCCAGTAGTGATGCATTTTGTCCTGATGTTTTTATTATCTAAAAGAATGTGTTGGTGTTCTGAAATATTTGGTTTTTTGTTAACATCTGAAAACTATTCTTAGACTCATCAAATGTTCATTCCTGATTCCTTTCTGGAAGGTGGAAGGTGAATTATTCTTGTTTATTTAATTTGAATTCTGATGGCCTTCAAGAAGATAATGTACTCCATGAACTGTCATATCATTCCTTATTTTCTCGCTTGAGCAATCTGTCCAAAGTGGACAGGTTGGTTTGTTACATATGGTATCAGAGCCACTTCGCGTGCAACCTTGAACTGGGATGGGGCAAACCTCAGAGAGGACCCTGAGTTCCTAAAGGGAGTGTATGTGACACCCTAGGCGAATCCCACATCGACAAAGCACGGAAGAGATGCTGGGTATATAAGTAAACAAACCTTAGACCCTAGTGACGCATTCTAAAGGGATTTGGCATTTACATGCTTAACATTTTCCTATAGTCTACTTCTGACAAAAATCTCATTACCTCCATGATAATTCAAAACTTGAAAGTAGTTATTACATACTACCTACTCGAAACTGCCAAATAATGTGTAAGAAAACAAAAGGTAATGTAGTATGTTTAAATCCTCAACCGCACCCCCAGAGAATAGTCATCCAAATATTAGTAAGGATGATTAAACAGCTCCATGATTTTGGCCACAGACACAAAGACTAGGTTTTCTATATTCTTTTCTTTTTCCGTTTCATTGACACTTCCACAAATTCTCAAGTCACTAATACACAAAATGCCAGTTGGATTGAGATTATATCTGGACACCAGCACTCAGATTTTACTACTAGCTAAATATACAAAACAGCTGAAGGAAAAAGGTAGCTAGCGGACAGCATCATCCATTTAAACCATTAACAAGACCATGATGCAGCAGCTTGAAGATTTGCCCAACTTTAGACAAGGCGAAACTCTAGCGGACTATACGACCAGCTTCCCCTTGTGGCACTGGAGGTAATAACAAGAGAGTCATCATGAACAAATTAAGAGGGTATTTTAAGGACGAATTCCCTAGCAGCTGTCTGTGAAAATGAAAATGGATGACCACTTCATGCTTAAACTGATAACAATCAGTTGAACATTGGAAGGTCATCACTGTTCCTCCGATGATGCATTTGCTTTTGCACAGCTTTCACCGCAGCTACTCTAGCTGCATTGGCTGCTCTGTTGGCTGCTGCAACTGCCCTGTTCACTCTCTCATCAACCTTAGTCACATCGTAGGCCCTCTTTGCTGCTCGTCGTGCCTCCTGATTATAACATGGAAAAGCAACCAGCGTTTGGTCAAATTAAACCTGCATTTTCCTTTACTGAACCTAATCTTTTAGAGTGTCGGATTAAAGAATAAAATGACTAGGACAAGTAGTCCATCTCTCAGTTTATATTCTTGGGAAAAACTTGAATTACTAATTACGTCAGTATATAATCCTTTAAAAGTCAACTTGACTGTCCTATAGATAACACTGTAAGTGAATTATGGGCTGGCAAAGAAGATCTGAGCAGCCAAGAAAACTAATGCTACCCTTTTTCCATATCTAATTTACCTGTACAGCATTTAGTACTTTGGAGTGGTAAACAGCAACAGGAGATACAGAATAGGAGGTATTATGTGTGCTTGGAATGTCGAGGACCCCATTTTGCCAATGACCAGACTGGGTTTCCCCATTCCTAAAAGTATACATCCCAAGCCCTTGCCTCCTTCCCTCATGCCAGGCTCCTTCATACCGATGCCCATTTGCAAAACAATATACTCCAAAACCATGCATCTTATCAGTAAAATATTCTCCAGCATAAGTATCTCCATTCCTTTATTGAAAAGATAAAATCAAGTCAATGGCAGGAAAAAAACAAAAAAAAACATATTACTCTACATTTAGTTTAAATGTCATTTCATCACTCTACCAGTTAACAGATCACACTCTACCGCAAACTGAAGGGTTCTTCAGATAAAAACTACGCATGAGTCTCAATTATTCGTTTTTTCAGCTTTATTGGTAATAAATATATCTTACTCAAAAGTTTCAAGCGTAAGATATAGGCATACAGCCACAGTCAATGACAATTTTAAAGCACTTACAATCACTAAAATGAGAAAGAAGCTCTTCGAAATAATTATGATGTTTCAACTGACCACTTCAACCTTTCAGCTTGATCCAAATATACCACTTAAAACATGGATCTCTTAGACTCACAGAATGGAATTAATTGTCAAGAAATGTGGACGCGGACGTTTCTATGGTGTAAGTATCCCAATGTACTATAGGTATTTCCTTTTCATGGTGCTATAAGAAATCTGGAAATGTGCCTTCACACACACCCTACAAAAAGTGGAATTTACCAGTGTCGCTTTTCCTTAAGTCGCACAATATACCTCCTAGGACTGATAATTAATTTAGCAATTGAAATTACATAAATAAATGAAGTTGCTGGGGCAAACAAATTCAGAAAGGAACTTCACGAAATCTTTTTATAAAAAACAGAAACGCCAAACAATTGCTATTCCTTGAAATGGTCGCGCTCTTTCTGTCTTTGACTTATACTTAGTTGATTATGCATCTTCTAGAACCATACATGCGGTACTATGAGATGATCCATCAGCAATTAGTTTCTCCAAAGGGAAAAGAACTGTTCTATTTATCTACTCAGAAGTAAACATATAAAGGTTGTTCCCTTTCAGTTACACCAAAATGATCATTTAACTATTCTCCTGCTTCTTTTAACAAACCACCTAAGTTCAGAAAAGAACAACCATGCAAATAGAAATTTATACAGTGACATCCAGTAAAAAAAAGTTACCCTTCACTCCATTGATACCTAAAGCAACAAGCATAACGAATATCATCGTCATCCTCTAATCATGATAATAATTAATAAGAATTTCAAGCTCACATGATCTGCTTTACATAAGATATGATCCACAAAACAGCAATAACTAAAATCAAATTTACAGCAATAACTATGCATATACTAACACATATGGACATTGTGAAACATCTCATACCCAATAAGATTTAACAGGATTACTTCAATTTGCTGATGAAAAGATGCCACCAAATTCAACCAAGGCAAAATTAACACACGAAAATACGAAACCGAAAAACATCAATGACTACAAATTACCTGAAGTGGTAATGTCCAAGGCCATGCTTAACTCCCCACTTAAATTCACCAACATACCTGCTCCCATCCTCACAAGTATGAACTCCACACCCATGACTTTGTCCATTAGACCATTCCCCAGCATATACATCACCTGTATAAAACCTATAAACCCCAAATCCATGCCTAAGTCCTTGCCTATATTGTCCCCTATATCTGCTCCCCCTTGCCCATGTTTCAACCCCATAACCATCATACTTCCCATCAACCCAATCCCCTTCATATCTCCCACTCATGTAATAGTAATAAACCCCACTTCCACTACACTTCCCTTTATGAAACTCCCCCTCAAACACATCACCATTACTGTATGCCTGCACATAACAACCTGAAGTATTTACCTTTTTATCAATTCTTGGCCTTGACCCTATTGACCAAAACACTGGTAAAGCATTCTTGGACACTTGTTTTGATGAAAAAATCTTAATTGGAGGCAAAGACTTAGCCAAGAATAAACGAATTGAGGGGAATCTTGGAAGTGCTAAATTCAGTGTAAACAAAAGGGCTGCTGAAAAAGCAAAAGCAGAAAGAAAATCCAAAAAGAAAGAATTTTTTGGACGTGAAACCAAGAAACAGAAGAACAGAAGAGAAAAAATGAGTATGAGCCGAATATGGCAGGGGTAGAAATGGAAATTGCTCAAGTTTCTACATGGGTGTTGACCCTTTACAGAGGAAAATTGATATTTGTGAAGAGAATTGGATAAAGTTGGAGTCTTTATGAGAGATTTTGAAGGGTTGTTTGATGAAACTCCCAAAAGGGGTCTTTTATGTGGGGTGGTTTTGGTGGTAGGGGTGGTGGTGGGGGTAGGGGAAATTGCGTCATTATTATCATTATCAATGAAAACTTGAATAGCAGTATGATCCTGATATCCAGGTGAAGAAGAAGGTGACACAGAAGATGCGAAAATCAAAGGTTGGGGACCAGAGTTGAAATTATGGGAATTTGAAGGGTGTTTCTGATGAAGAGAAGATGAAGAAGAAACAAGGGGCGCTGTACGATTGAAATCGGAAGAGATGCAGCAAATGCTTTCTTTTCCAATTTGCACTTCAGATTTCTTCTGATGCATTACCTATAAATAACACCAACCAAAAAAAGGGAGAAGAATCTTTCTTATCTACAAACTTTACTCTCCAAATTCACCAAAAATTCTTCCTTTTTCTCGTTTGAAATTATGTTTCCAAAATTGGGTTGGTTCTTTCTTGAAAAAAAATTTCTTCCCTAAAGGCTGAAGGTAATATTCTTCTATACAAAAAGATATAGAATTGTGTTTATAGATATATATGTTGGAAGTGAAAATAGTAATGGGAGGAGAAGTTTTTTGAGTTAAAAAAGGTGAGGGGTACTGGGGTGGGGTAGAGCGGGAGGTGGGGTGAAGGAGATTTCTGAATTCTGCGTGTGGAGAAAAATCAGTTTAAAACCAGAGGCGGACGGGTTCTTGTGACAACAACTTATCAAGAAGTAAAAGAGCCCGTTTGGATTAACTTATTTATACACGTGCTGAAATTGATAATAAGTTGTTGCAGTATTTGATAAAAAAAGTGATGATAAGCTCTTTTCTGTTAAAATGACTTAAATAACCTAAGAATTGTTTACTCTTATAAGAACGTAATTTCTTCAAAATTTTAGATTCTAGATCGATTCAAATACAAAATATTATATTTGTCATTTAATTTTAAATACAAATGTGCTTAGATAACATAATTTTTATGATAAATATAATTTATTTTATGATGCGCATATAATCATAAGTTATAATAATTAATAAATTGACAACAGTTTCTCAGTAAAAAATAAACCTAAATAGGACAAAATATTTGAAGAGAAACAAACATTGTGTTCATTACCACAACACTTAGAAAGCAATACACCAAAAAATTAATATGTCCTAATTTATTACATACAGTTCAAAGATTAATATAAAATTACATTGATACAAATATGCAAAGGAATAGAGGATTCGCTTATCTTAAATAGTCAATGAGAANAAAAATGAATATTTTAAGGATAAAATAGTAAAAATTTTGGTCAAACTTAAAGTGCTTGTAAGCTAAAAAATTCATAAGTTGGGGGTGACTAGCTTATGGCTTTTGGCTTATTTTTGACTTATAAGTACTTTTAACTTTACCAAACGCGTAGATAAGCCGAAAAATGCTTATAAGCTAATTTGACCAGCTTATAAACTTAGCCAAACACCCTCAAAGTCTTAGAAACTAATACTACTAGTACAATTAAATGTACACTCCTTGTTTTGTCCATGAATCATGATGGCTCATTCTTATCGCTCAAAGTGTCATTACAATTTTTCTTTTCTTTTTTCACTCAGAAATTTATTGGCCTAAGTAATTTGGTTTGCATCGTATAAATAGTCTTTAAATGAGAAAACACTCTCCATTCCCGTGGATCGAATTCGAGGCTCTAATTAACACATCACTCTGTTAAGCCCAAATCCCTAATGATGATATCTAACATCGTCGGTTAGGTGATTCAACACAAAAGTACACAAGAGCAAGATAATTCATAACCAAGCCTCACAAAAAAATCATAAAATAAGTCAATACATTAGGCTAAACATAGAATAAGTGCGAAAATACTAGTAATACATATCCCTGACACTGGTAATATAAGTCATCCACTAAGACGGAATAATACAACTGCGTTCAAGTATGGCAGCTCATCACGAATTATGTCCTGCTAGTATCAGGAACAAAATCTACACAAAAATATGCAGACGCGTAGTATCAATACGAAATCAACGTGTATCCAGTAAGCATACTGACTGACCTCAAAACATATAACAATATGCATAGACAGAGCATATGAACTGATGCGCTCTATCACGACTATGCAAATCCCATGCATGTATCAATGCATCGCTAACAACATTGTCACGGCTCAAACTCTCACCGGAGCCGTGACAACACCTAACACTGCTTGTTAGGCAAGCCAATAATTTCACAATAATAATAGAACTCAAATAATAGAACTTAATAATCCCAACAACGGTAATGTTATAAAATATCTAAAGATAGCATCAATAAGCAACTACAACCATCCACTGATCTGTTGTCAACAAATACATGATCACTACATAATCTCAAAATACAGAGTCAATCCTCAATACAAAACTGTTTGAATGGTAGAACATCGATAACAAAGACAAACAAAAGAGAACTTCAAGGTCTGCGAATGACATAACAGTTACCTTGTAGTCTCCACAAGCTGGTACCGATGCGAACTCTAGCAATCACCACGTTTAGAAGTACCTGAATTTGCACATAAAGTGCAAAGTGTAGTATAAGTACAACCGACCGCATGTGCTCTATAAGTAACAAACCTAACCTCGGACTGAAAGCAGTGGCGGAAAGAAGTCAGTGCCCAATACAAATAATCAATAACAACACATGATATAATGATGAAAGTAAAAGTAAATAACTCAAAAGATATCATGTTCACCTCATCCACAAATACATGAAATTAGATATGCTTTTCAAGTATAACAGTCAAAACCCAATCTTTTACCAAAATTACTAAAATATGAGTTTATCAAGAAAACTATGATTTTCCAAACTTTCAACAACATATAAGACATTTTATTTACCATCTAGCATGAGGAAAAATATATCTCTATGCCTATATGTCAAATATATATGTCAAGTCAATAACATCACAGTGAAACCATCAAGTATACTCTCACTTAGCACACTCGCGGTGCCTAGCACAAATGCCTATCACCATCACACACACAACCACACTCAACACTGTATGGGTGCCTGGCACAAATTCCTCTCATAAAACACATATATAACCCTATGCCCGCGCTTACTGTAATATCAGACTCCGGATGGGCAGATTCTTGCCCAAGTGCTGATCAATAATCAATATAACCATTGCGGCGTGCAACCCGATCCAAATATCAATCCGTCGCGGCGTGCAAACCAATCCACTATAAATCACAATACGGCTCCATGGCCCACATCAATCATCAACCGCTCAAGTCTCAATGGCTCACATCTTACAGAACTCAGCCCAAACAGTATCACATATAGAAGACAACAACATCATGTGATAGGACATACAAATAATATACAAAGATTGAGACATAACATGCAGACGAAGAATTATGACTGAGAATAGGACTGCAATTAAAGCAAATAACTCAAAACAACAAGAATAGCCCTATCATATCTCAAACAAATAAGTACATAGCCTAGACATAATATCTAACACTAATCATAACTCAAATGATCATACAAGTAGAGAAAATACCGATATAACGAGGCATGAAAGCAAATAAGTCTTATAGTATCCTAAAGTCTACCCGGATAATAAATACTAGGGTGTACGCACACACGCCCGTCACCTAGCACGTGTTCACCCCCAACACATCTCAAGTATCATAGCTCACATGGATAATTACCCTCAATCCAAGTTTAGATATATTACTTACCTCAAAACGCATGAAACAATACTCCAAAAAGTCCTTCTTACGCGAATCGGCCTCCGAGTGACTCAAATCTAGTCAAAATAACTTAATATCATCAATAGAAGCCATAGGAAACAACCTCAAACAATAAAGCTAAGATCTTGCTTTAAATATTTAATATCAAACCAAAAAGTCAACCCCGTGCCCCCACCCCGAAACCCTTCAATACTCACAAATCCCGAACACCCATTTCGATATGAGTCCAAATATATATGTTTCATCCAAATCCAACCTCAAATCATCAATTTTCACTCTCCAAAATCGTAGTAAAAAATACCCAAATTCCATCTTTAATTCATATAAACTAGGTGTAATAATCCATGGATAATAAATATCTAACATAAAATTAAGTAAACTTCACTCACCTCTTAATTTGCAGTGAAAAGTCTCCCAAAAATCGTCTCTAGCCGAGCTCCTCAACTCTAAATAATGAAAAGTGACCAAACCTTCGAAATCATATAGGCTGCCCAGTGATTCCGCATTTGCGGTCCAAATTACCGCATCTGTGGTGCCATATTTGCCGTCAAAATCTCGTATCTACGAGTTCACTTAAAAAGCCGACCTGCCGCTTCTGCGGGCACCAAGCCGCATCCGCGCCTCCGCTTCTGCGGACAAACGCCGCATCTGCGGACCTCCCCCTTGCCAAGCCAAACTCACACCTACACGTCCCAGGCTGCTTCTGCAGCACCGCATCTGCGGCCAAACGTCCGCATATACGAAAACACCAGAACTCAGAAATCTCAGCAAGCCAACTCAATCCAAATGATCTGAAACACACCCGAGGCCCCCGAGACCTCGTCCAATCATACCAACCAATCCCAAAACATAACACGGACCTACTCGAGGCCTCAAATCACATAAAACAATATCAAAACTATGAATCGCACCTCAATTTAAGCCTAACGAACTAATGAACTTTTAACTTCCAAACCTCATACCGAAACACATCAAATCAACTCGGAGTGACCTCAAATTTTGCACACAATTTTCAAATGACACAACGGATGTATCCCAACTCCCGGAAACACAATCCAAACTCGATGTCATCAAAGTCAACTCCCGGTCAAACCTATGAACCTTCCAAACCTTCAACTTTCCAACTTTCGCCAAAGAGCACCTATTCAACCTATGGACCTCCAAATCCAAATCCTGACATACGCCTAAGTCCAAAATCACCATACAAACCTATTGGAACCATCAAAATACCATTCCGGGGGTCGTCTACATAAAAGTCAAACTCCGATCAACTCTTACAACTTAAGCATCCAACCATGAGACTAAGTGTCCCAATTCAATCTAAAAACTCCCCCGAAACCAAACCAAACGACCCCGCAAGTCACATAATCACAAATACACATATGTAAAGCACCAAGTAAGGGGAAAATGGCTCAAATATACAAAACGACCGGCCGAGTCGTTACATTCTCCCACTCTTAAACAAACGTTCATCCTCGAACGAGTTTAGAATTATACCTAGGGTCTTAAAATGGTGAGGATATCTGCTCTGCATATCCTGCTCAGTCTCCCAAGTAGACTCATCGACCGGTTGAACTCTCCAATGAACCTTCACCGATGTTATATTCTTTGACCTTAACTTTTGAACCTGCCAGTCCAACATAGCCATCGACTCTATATCATAAGTCAAATCCTTGTCCTGCTGCACCGCGCTGAAGTTTAATACATGTGACGGATCCCCATAATACTTTCGGAGTATGAAAACATGAAACACTAGGTGAACTCTCAATAAACTAGGTGGCAAGAAAAGTCTGCAGGCCACCTCTCCAACCCTCTATAGCACTCAAAAGGGACAATATACCGAGAGCTCAACTTGCCCTTTTTCCCGAACATCATTACACCCTTTATAGTTGAAACTTTGAGTAGTACCTTCTCACCTA